GTGACTCTTCATGTTCTTCCATTTTTATTCTGTTTTTTTTTTTTAAAGTGCCAAGTACCATGGCATTTTAAAGATTCAGTAACTCATTCTATATTTGTTTGAAGTTCTTTGTTGTGTAACTTGCTCTGAATGAACATTTTTATGTGTTTTTGGAAACCTTTCCTTATACATTTCCTTTCCTCCTTTTATCTTTTTTCTTCACTGCTTTAAAGAGGAAGGGAACACTAGGAAAATAAAAGCATTTGGAATTTTATGAAATTAAACATGAAAATATAAGTACATATCTATCTTTCTGTATGAAGATGCTCTCACAGAATCACACAGAATCACTAAATATTAGGAGTTGGAAGGGACCTCGAAAGATCATCAAGTCCAACCCCCTTCCCAGAGCAGGATCACCTAGACTAGGAATAGTCATAGCTTTCATTGTTTGAAGCCAAAAGCTAGCCATCATGTAAATGAAGCGGGAATGCTATTAAGAGGACAAGAATAAATCTCCTATACCAGTAAGGAGATATGTTTTAGATACTTATACAGATTATTTTACGTGTTTGTTTCATTTAGACTGCTATGTGAGCATACATAGAACAAATACGATAAAATGCGTTCTATTTAAAACTAATCTTGGTATAAAATTACTTTTAAACAGTCTCTTAATCCTTAGAATTAAAATATGCGATTTTTCTTCATATAACTTCAATCAGAATAGTTAATTTAGGAAGGCAATTTGGATATCCTATTTTAACTACTGGAAGAGGACAAAAATCAAGGTGGCGTCACTAATGTAAAGCAGCTTCTTACTTCCGTGATCTGTTCTTGGAAGCAATGATTAGGCATGTTGGCAAAGCAGTAGAAAATCTTCCAACCATATGTTTTCACTTCTACATTTATTTGGAGTTGTGTTGTATTGCTTCTGTTTTGGTGGAGGTTGGATACCCAAGTAACTGTGACTTCTAATCCCTTCTATGTTTTTGGGATTTTTTTACTGGCTTTAGAAGCTTATTGGTGTTTTATTCCTTTTTTCATTTGAAAGTCTCTGGCAATAAAGAAGGTGACTTGGATGTCTAGGAAATTCTTTGGAACTGGGATACTGGGTCATTTCTTCCAGAATATTTCATAAATTTGATGTAATTTAGGAGAGGTTTTATTTTAATTCTAACTTCTATTGCAGACATTTCAGGAGGCCCTGGCTTTGATGAGAAACTGAGACAGTTGGATGAGATTAGCTTAAAGGCAGTTAAAGAGATTGTTTGCTATATGTATTTTACACTTGACAGATTTTTTACATCTGGATATGTAATAGTTTTGAGATTTACTATATAACAATACTTAAATCCCAAAACAATACCTAAATAATTAAAATTAAGAAGAAATTAAGCTATATCTTTGTAATCTACATGGTGTGCCTCCATACTGTGGACTGTAATTTGGCACTGAGATACCTGAAATCGCTTTGAAATAACTGCCTTCATTAACAACAATAGTCATTGTATATGTGAGCACATTTGAACTCAAACATACTCTTGATAAAGAAGATGCAATGATAATTTGTACTGTAAGTCACTATTTCTTCATGACCTCCTTCTCATCCGAAAAACCCCTGTATCAAACTAAACTTTGACTGGCAGTGTTTTCTGACCATAAACTATGGTAGCTATATATGCATGATATTCATGCCAGGTAGTTTTTCTATCTGGCTTTAAAAATAAGAGGTCTAGGTGTTAAAGGTTGAGAAACAAATGAATGAGTCCTTTATTCTATGGCACACACAGAGAATTTCCTGACTAGCTGACAATAGGGTGATTACCTCATGGTGAATCTTAAGCTATGACCTCTTGCCTTAGTTAATTGTGCAGATTCCTCTCTGACATAATCTCACACACATAAACCCATTCTTGGGCAGAGTGGAGTTGGCTCTCTAGCTCATATACCAACCTTTTCTAGAGTCAGGAATGACTGTGTAATGAGCAAAAATATCCAAGCAATTTATTACTATTGTCTCCTGAGCTGTGCTTCCTCCAGAGAACTTCGCTGCATCTCATCTGCTCAGACATTAGGATTATTTCTTTGCTGCAGCTAAAGCTGTGGCCTAGAAGTGTTCCTCTCTCTGGCTAAGCAAGCAGAGTGGAGTGAAGAGAATATTTTATACTTGGATGAAGGCAGAGAAACAGTTAAAAAGAAGGAATTTATTTGAAGACATCCAATCTCAGCAATACCTTGGAGTGTGGGTGTTCATCTATCAGGATTAATGATGAATTTAAGCTTTTCATCAAAATGCTGTTCTTGCAGAGTTCTGTATAGCTCTGTCATGCATAGCTATCATCAATCTTTAAAAGAAATTTTTCTTAAAGATAACTACTTCACAAGCTTGAGGAATCGATTCAAGCAGCTACTATTGACTACGTAGCTCTGATCTTCCAAAAAAAAATCATCATTTCAGTTAAAGTATCTGCATAAAATATTTTTAAACTTGTGTGGGTAGAAAAAACTCCACAGCAACAGTGGAATACCTTTAACTGTGACTGCTGTTTTCACAGTTGAAAATGTGGAGGGATGCTTTACAAGAGGATATATTGTTGCATTTGTATTAAAATGTTAGTCTAATGATTCCATTGTAGAATGATGAAGCAAATGTACTACAATTTATAAGCAAAAAATATGTATGTGGAAGAAGTGTGTTAATCTTTGTTTTTTGCAATGGGTACAAGAGGAAGAACTATTTATGGTGGTGTGACAAGGAATGGGAATAGGAAAAGATTTATACAGACTATCAAATAAAAAATTCTTATTTAAGATTAGAATATTCTTTTATGAATATTAAAGGATATTGAAATACAGGCCCTGTAGGGTTAATAGAAAATTCCCACTATTTCCTAGTCAGTGGGTTTTGTATCCATATGTGGGTTAAAAACTTTATTCTGTCTTTATTATACTGTTAGAGTAGTTCTGTCAAAATAAATGTTGCATTTTGGGGGTCAAAATGTACCCTGTAAATTTATTATTTGCTGATAATAGTAATAACAAACAAAATGGAATTCGCTGCATTAGAGAATTCTGAAGAAGAGAACCAAGAAAGGATATTGTAGAATTAAACTGGATGATAATAAAGTCTTTACATAATAATGGTCTTGCATAACCAAGGACATTTTTGTTTTTAGAGGTATCTGATTAATAAGGTGAAAACTGCATATCAAAATCAATAGAAAAATAAATTCTAGCACATGGAATTTGTCTGTTATATTTCTGTATTCTTTGGCTGTGTTAAGGAGTGTTTTACCTTTAATCTGTGCCAAAAATTTGTAGACATGCTCTCCAGTGTCTGCATGGGAATTTGAGTTTGGAAATACTGTATTACTCTTACTTAGATAACACAGTCTCACTCTAAGAAACTTATTCTGAACGTATGATAAAATAATTGAGGATGTATCAAGAAACGTTTCCTTCTGAAAATATTTGTTTTCTAACCTGAGCATTGGTATCAGAGAGTTGGGTATCTGGATACTTCTTCTGCAACTATCAGGAGATTTAAAAAGTCAAGCAGAGCAGTACTTTGCACAAGAGGGACCATGTTGAGCAAAATCCAGCATAATGGAGTACACTTAACTATGCATACACAGTATATTGTAATTTCTTTCAAGAAGAGTAAGTTTTAGTATGGTTTTGAAAGAAAGAAACTGGCATTTGCCTTTCAGTTGTAAGCCTGTTCTTCCATGTCCTTTAAAGAATAAAATATAAGGATAAACAATAGTGATAAGCAGTAATTTGTAATCTTTTTCTTTAACTTCTCCTAAGCATGCCTCTTACTAACATGAATGCCTCCTTTTTTGCCAACCTAGCCATAAAACCGGTGAATGACAACTTTACTCTAGGTCTCATATTTTGTGTGTGCACTGTGTATTATTTCTGAAAAAGCTGATTATAAATAAGGGAGAGAAAAGTACTTTCATTTCAAATAAACTGTTGGTTTAGAGGAAATCAAGCCTTATGTTTTTAGTGTGTTGGATAATACCCTTTTTGGCTAAGAAAAGTGCACTAAAAAGAAATCTCAAATCAGAAAATGCAATTGATTTAGCTTGGAAAGTTGAACTAAGCCTTTCAGTTTAATACTTGCGTTTTATTCACTGCAGCATGGCTCCACATGCTTTTCACAGAACAGAACAGAACGTTAGGGATTGGAAGGGACCTCAAAAGATCATCTAGTCCAATCCCCCTGCCGGAGCAGGAACACCTAGATGAGGTTGCACAGGAAGGCGTCCAGGCGGGTTTTGAATGTCTCCAGAGAAGGAGACTCCACAACCTCTCTGGGCAGCCTGTTCCAGTGCTCTGTCACCCTCACTGAGAAGAAGTTTCTTCTCAAATTTAAGTGGAACCTCCTGTGTTCCAGCTTGTGTCCGTTACCCCTTGTCCTATCATTGTTTGTCACCAAGAAGAGCCTGGCTCCATCCTCGTGACACTCACCCTTTAAATATTTATAAACATTAATGAGGTCTCCCCTTAGTCTCCTCTTCTGCAAACTAAAGAGACCCAGCTCCCTCAGCCGCTCCTCAGAAGGGAGATGCTCCACTCCCTTAATCATCTTTGTAGCCCTATGCTGGACTCTCTCCAGCAGTTCCCTGTCCTCCTTGAACTGAGGGGCCCAGAACTGGACACAATATTCCAGATGCGGTCTCACCAGGGCAGAGTAGAGGGGGAGGAGAACCTCTCTCGACCTACTAACCACCCCCCTCCTGATATACCCCAGGATGCCATTGGCCTTCTTGGCCACAAGGGCACAGTGCTGGCTCATGGTCATCCTGCTGCTTTTAAGGAGAACTTTTTTTTCTCTCTTGTTGAAAACATTTTTTCTTATGTAACACAAATGGGATGTACAATTGTCAAGTCTTGCTTTTTTCTTCAGTCTTCTGCCCTGGTAACAGAAACTTTAAAAATAATAGTTTTAAAATTTCGTTTTCTAAATAAGAGATACTCACCAAGTATTTCTAAGTTGTTGTCCCTTTCTTTTCTTATAAATTTTAGACATGGGACACAGAACTGGAGAGATCTGCAGAGTCGTGGGCTGAAACCTGTCTATGGGAGCATGGGCCTGCAAGCCTTCTTCCATCGATTGGGCAGAATTTGGGGGCACACTGGGGAAGGTAGTTTAAGATACTGTTTTATACTACATGTGGTTGTTCGTTTGTTTTGGTTTGTTTTTTTAATGTATCAAAATTTGCTTAAAGGTAGAATGTTAGAAGCTACAACTTTTGAATGATCTAATAGATTACTACTGGCTTTCATAGGTACAGACCTCCAACATTTCATGTCCAAGCATGGTATGATGAAGTGAGAGATTTCACGTATCCCCATCCTCATGAATGCAACCCATATTGTCCTTACAAATGCTCTGGTCCTGTTTGTACACACTACACACAGGTAGGTAGGTGGGTTTGGTTTTTGCTTTTTGTGTGGAAAAGAGTTGTCAAGACCTCCAGTTAAGTTGCTGTATGACACATAGAACATATTAATCTAACAGTGTGTATCATGAGGGTACCCGCAGTAAGTCTGCAGATGACTCTGAGCTGGGTGGGAGTGTTGATCTGTTTGAGGGTAGGAAGGCTTTTCAGATGGACCTGGATAGTCTGCATCGATGGGCTGCAGCCAACTGTAGGATGTTCAGCAAGGCGAAGTACTGGGTCCTGCTCTTGGGTCACAACAATCCCATGCAGTGCTACAGGCTTGAGGAGAAGTGGCTGGAAAGCTGCTTGGCAGAGAGGATTCTGGGGGTACTGCTCGACAGCCACCTGAACATGAGCCAGCAGTGTGCCCAGGTGGCTGAGAAGGCTGATGGCATCCTGGCTTGCATCAGGAATAGTGTGGCCAGCAGGACCAGGGAAGTTCCAACCAAATGTTTCTGTGATTCTCTGTTAGCACTAAAAGAGTAAAGGGGGTGGTTGTTACTAGACTCCATAGTTACAAGCATCATGTAACAGTGACATAGATAGAGTTGTCGTACAGATCTTCAGATTTCATCCTTATAAATAGCACTTCCTTAACAGTATTAAGGAAAAAGCTCACAAACCTCAGTAATGGGTGTAACTGCTTAGTGCTCTTTGAATAATCTGGTCTCTGTGCTGATATGTTGGTTGTCCTTTCTGTAATATGATGAAGAACCAGCACACTTTTTTAAAAAAAGGTTTTCTTAGGTGAATTACTCAGATCAAATAATAGTTTTTAATATGTTTCTTTAGTGTCAGCAAGATTTTGAAACTGCGTAAGAACTAACATTTCCTACTTCTGAAATCTATGTATTTGGCCAGAACTCTTCAAGAGGGCAATCAGTCATGTTTTCAGTGAGTGAGAAATATGTGATCCTCAGAGTATACTAAAATCCACATGTAATATTCAAAATAATATATCAGAAAATTTCAAACTTTATTTTTAAACATTTATTTCCTGTTTGTTTGCTAGCACAATTTACAATTGCATCTATTTCTAAGACAGAATTACCTCCATATTCTTAGTTACCATTTCTGTAAAAATACCTATAATTACGCTTATCCATTGCATGCAAGATCTACAATACGTATATACAGCTCTTTGAAGTGCTAAATCTTCACAATGTCTACCTTATTCAACTGCTAAATCCTGCTGGAGCTACACAGTTGGCTTATCTTGAATTAATACAAGTTTATCATGTGTCGTATTTGTCTGATATGAACGTTCTAGCCTTTGTTGTTCAGATAATTTTGAGAACTGCAATGAAAGATATTTCAACAGAAGAGTAAAGGAGCACAGCCATCTTATATTGCAATGACATGAAAGCATATTTATTTAAAATCTGGGACTTGAGTCTTTTTGGTGTATGAGGTTTTTGTGAATAGTTTTATCATTTGTGTTACATCCATTTGTTGCTTATGTATCTCTTCTCTCAGTCCAACCAATCTAAACCCCTCTGGGTCTTAAGGTTGTGCTGAGAACTTCAGGACACAGGAATATAACTTCTTCTAGCTCAAGGTTATCTATTAATTCTAATTCTAAGTTCTTCAGATCAAGTTTTGTAAATGTTTTGTGACACTTTCAAATAAATGCTTAGACAATTTATGTAAAATGAAAGCCGTATCTTTTGTATCAAAGTAAAGCTTTTCATTCTAATAACAAATAGCTGAACAGCCTTTTGACAGTTGTAATTAAGTCACTTTGACCCATCCCCCATAACAGAGGGGAATATAACATCACTTTTGTGATTTGAGTTTTATATGTTGAAGTTTGGAGACAGTTTCGATTTTATGTTAATCAGCTTTGGTTTTCACAGGTCTTTCTCTTTCCTTTTCCATAGGTTGTTTGGGCTACAAGTAGCAGAATTGGTTGTGCAATTAATTTATGTCATAACATGAACATCTGGGGACAAATTTGGCCAAAAGCAGTCTATCTTGTATGCAATTATTCTCCTAAGTAAGTAGGCTTACACCCAAAACTATCCTGAGGAGGCAAAATACCTTATAATAATCCAGGAAGTAATCTAAAAGGAAATCAGTCTGAGTTTTCTATTTTTTGTACTGTTACAAAGTAGAGCATTGTTCCCAAGGCAGTCTTTGGCTGCACAAATATGCTTGTGATTTTCTGGAGCTTCAGTTTTCTGGTCTGTATTTTAGCATACAACATCAGAGATCTTTATTGTAGTGTGATATTTCTCTGAAAAAATAGATGTGTCTCCCCATTGTGAGTTGTAAGGAATGTGTAATATGAAACCCATGGTTAAGATTAAATTCCATAGGATATTCCATTTAGAAGACTGGGGCCTGCTCTTGTGTAATTGAGGAATTTAGTCTTATGGTGCTATGCCAATCTAAAAAGATCTTACATCAGCTTATGGCAGTACTTCAGTTTTTTCTTTATGGACTTTTCAATTACTTCCTGTGCATTTGGTATATCAAAACAATGTTATGGTCTAATTGTTTGCTGATTTTCATCATTTATTTATCCACATATTAAATGCTGTTTAATGCCAATATGTTCATTTATTAAGGCATGTTTTGCCTTTTTTTTTTTTTTTTGATGTAAAGGGGTAACTGGTGGGGTCATGCTCCTTACAAACCTGGCCGCCCTTGTTCCGCATGTCCCCCTAGTTTTGGAGGAGGTTGCAGAGAAAACCTTTGTTACAGAGGTATGTACTATTTAATCAGTACCACTATAAATGGAGAGAGAATTGTCACCTTTCTTTTACTTTCTTTCCTCATTATGCTTTAACATAGTGGAATAGAATATATTGTGTATGTGCCAAAGGCCTGATAGGGGCCTGCTTTTCTATGAGGAATGAGGTCATGTACTTATGATATATGATGCTGAGCCTCACCAGAGGGAGTGGAGTGTACTGAGCTCCTGCTGATTCAAGTGCTGATTGAGGGCTTTTAGTGCACAAAGATTTAGACTGTTGCTGTGTGCTATTTGAATGCCTTTCTGTAATTATTGTGGAAGTCTAGGCAGTCATTTGTTTATAGGGAAACATGTTATCTCAGTGACATAGCCACGTGCATTACTGGAAGAACAATCAAAAAACAAGACTAGAAGACATTAGTAATTAAACAAAATGTCAGCTAGGATGTTTATTAACTTTCTACAATTTTCATATTCTATTCATATTTTATATCATTGAGACACAACATATTATGAAGCTGCTATTTCTTTTTGTTTTACTCTGTGTACAAGTAATTTAGGAATTTTTGTTAATAACTTTTGAAAGTTCATCTGGACCATAAAAGATGCATGAGCATGCCCAAATACCTTCATTATGGTTCTTACTTAAGTAAGAAATGTAGATATAGTAATGAGTATTTCAAAATTATTTTCGTTATGTATGAATAGAAGGGCCTCAATTTAAGTTATATGTTTTTATGAAACCAGCTTCTTTAATTTCAAGTTATCTATGAACCTGGTAAAACTTCCAATGCATAACAGACATAGCAGCTTTGTTCTAGTGGCTTTCTGATGGCATAAAGAAGATACTAAACCAAGAGTGTTAAGAGCATTTTCATACCTCAGTTATTCTGCCTGTGCTAGAAAAAAATCTACCTTTTGTCAGCATCAGAAACATGCTTGAGATGTGTTATTAATCTTGAGGTCTTCATCTTACGAAGCAGTGGAAAGTTTTCCTTGTTTTCTTGCTGGTATTCATCCACCATTTTATGAGAACAAAGCCACGTTACTGAAACACAGTAAGGGATTTACATTCCACAAACACTGATTATTTTTGCCTGAGAGTTTTTGGGTTTTTTTTCCCATTTTCTGAAACAGAAGATTCAGAAAGGCCTTATTCTCCCCATGAACCAGAAGAGGAAACGAATGAGATTGAACGACAGCGATCCAAAGCCCAGGATGCAATGGCACAAAGCCGGCCAAGAACTCATTCACCTTCAGGCTCTGCTGGCACTGATGATAGTGAGAAAAATGAAGTTATAAGCACACAGCAAATGTGTAAGGAATTTACCTGATTTGCAAGTGATCGACAAATTTGAATTATACAGTATTGAATTCATTGCAGTGAAATTGCTTTTTGCTTGTTTTAGCTCAGATTGTTTCATGTGAAATAAGGCTAAGAGATCAGTGCAAAGGAACAACTTGCAATAGGTACGGTAAATTTTACAGTTGTCATTCTGAGATTATTTTAAAAGGCTATATTTGTATGTAAGCTGGAATATTTTCTGGTTTTCTAATCTCCGGATTTAAGATCAAGTTTTATTTTATTTTCTTAGGTATGAATGTCCTGCTGGCTGTTTGGATAGCAAAGCCAAAGTTATTGGAAGCGTACATTATGAAATGGTAAATATTTCCAAATTAGATTTTGCACCAGTAAAATGTTTAATGAAATGTCTTTTCTGTTGGAATACTAGATAAAGTAATATTAAGAATGGATTTTGAAGAAATCAATATTCACCAAAAATAAAATCCTACACAATGTTTAAGATAGCATCAGACAATCTATGTTTGCATCTGCTGTTCTGCATGTACTGTCCAAATGTACTTTAAACTTCTCATACAAACACAGAAGTAGAATTTTTATGTCCCCATATTTGCATGTAAATATGTGGAGGTGTGACTTAAGGAGAAATACAGCAATTTGTGGGTATGCTCATATAAATTGTTTCAGTAAGACAGGCCTAGTTGCATAAGCTTAGTGCTAGATGAAAATATATAATTTACTCTGTAGAACTGAAAAACAGTATAGGAAATAACAGCTACTGTGAACAAGTACTCTGTGAGTATAGTTTGTCTCTGAGTAAGGCAAAGTGATGTTTTCTTCATTTGAAATAATACCTACATAGACGACATCATCTTAACAGACTGTCTACCAAGTTTTTAATGACACATTGGAATTAAAACCTGATTTTTTCATATTAAATTGCAATGTAAAATAGTGTCTTTGTCTGACATGGAACTGCTTTTCCTGCTCTGTTTTCAGCAATCCAGTATTTGTAAAGCTGCCATGCATTATGGCATCCTAGACAATGAAGGAGGTTGGGTTGATGTGACTAGGCAAGGAAGGAAAAATTACTTTATCAAGTCTTACAGAAATGGCATTCAGTCAATTGGGTAAGTTTTCTTTAAATTAAAATGTATGGAAAATCTTTCACCTGTTTATTTTTATTTCATACAAAATTCAACACAGTAGTAACATTTTCTTCATACTTTTTATCATAAAGAATATGAACATGCTATAAAAAGGCATATGGATATAGAAGTATTGTATCCATTGTATCCACAACTGCCACTGAAGTAGATTGTTTTATGTGTTTTGGGCAAAACTGGTAATATTGCCAGGGCTATGTAATCTATGACAGTTAACAAGGCAATAAACTTACAATTTTGTGTTTGGAAGTGACCCTCTTGTACTGTACAGATGAATAATATGAACCAAGTAGAAAAATGCACCTCTTCCTGTATGTTTGAGAGTTTCATCACAATTCCACAATTTACATATGATATTTTGTGCCAATATTTTGCACAATATCTGTGTTGGCCAGTGGTGGAATAATATCGCATACTGTGAGAGCTTCATTCAGAGGTGTGCTACACTGATCAGGTGCTTGCGCTAAGACTGGTGTGCGAAAACAGATCCAAATGCTTGTTGATATGCTAAAAGAAAAAGAAAACAAGACTGTGTGAGTGTCCAGTCTACAGAGTGTGTTTTCTGAGAATTGCAACTCAGACTGAGGTGTTAACACTTGCTTTTGTTTGCTAATGAGCATAGATAATCATATCATTGCTGAACTGTAATGACAGTTTTGGTTTTGGTTTTGTGATTCAGATATCGTAAAAAAATTAGATGCCTTATAGATAAATGACAGTTAAAGGACCCAATCTATGCCTTCCTATCTACAAGTAAATTTCAGGAAACTCCTACTGCTGTGTGTGCCCACAGATGACATAATTCTTCCCTATAGTATATAGGACATCACCTTTTAGAGTGAATTTACAAAATATTGCGATCAAGTATCAGTTTCATAAGTCAGTCTACATATCAAAGTCTTTAGACATCATAAAGATGATTTACCAAAGTTTCAGCCTTCAAAAGGCCCATCAATAAGGCCGGAGGTAACTTGCAGCTACCGAATTCTCACCAGTGTCTCTAGATGGAGCCTTGCATAAACTATATATCCATTCAATGAATAGATGAAGTGAAGTGGATCTCATCTCTAGTGTATATTGCAAAACAGAAAGAAATAAAAAGAAATGTCAGTGCAACATACAGCAAACTTCATAATCTTCAGCTCTTTTTTTTTTTTATTGCTAATACAGATGTTTTTTCAACTGTTGCATTTTTGTAGTACAGAATGCCATTTTTAAGAATATCTCAGCAAGTTAATCAACAATAACATACAGTGCACTATTCCCACATCAGTGTTTGACAATGCTAGGACAAGAGAAGTATGAGCTAACTCTGTGAAAGCAAATTGGAATCCAATAAATGAGCAAATGTTAAATTGGTGGGCCATATAACTAAACAAACCAATGCAAGCAAACAGTTTCTGAATACAAATTGCAGTGCTGTGGAGCTCACAGGAGTAATTTGCTCCAAAGGTGAACAGGGAATAATTTCCTTGTCGTTTTTTTTTAAACAATAAATAACTTTATGGCTGCCAAAAGCATCATCATCTCCTTTGTTACAGACAAAAAATATTAGAATCAGAGGCATGTCGAATGAGGTAAAAGAGGAGTGAAATAGGAGACAAAGAGGACTGAAATAGAAGTGCTCATCAATTGCAATGTAACAAGAATGTATATACCTGACTGTGTAACAACTGGAAACAAATACATCTGGGTACCATATACTTAATGAGAAAACAGACTGTTACATGTAATACTGGTGATTTAACTGGTTAATTTAACACAGACACAAAATCTAAAATAAAATTTTAATGAAATTTTTCAAAAATGGTGCCAGGAGAAACTCTTCTCAGTGTCTGAGCTGTTGGTAGGAATGAACCTTTAGGGGAAAGTGAATGATCTCTTCTGGTAGATGGATACATCTGAGCTACCACAGATTTTAATTGCTACATTTTGAAGGACAAATAGATTGCATCATTTGTTCTTAGCACACTTACTCTCTTGGCAAATTAAATTACTATAAAATGTTAACATGCATTCCTGGTTTTCAAACAGATTCACTGGGAGTACAAAGTAAATGTGGCATTGCAATAAATAGATTCCCAACTGGGGAGAGGGGATACAGTGATGATGCAAAATGATTGGGGACAATGTCTTGAGTTTATTTCTAGATTCTCTAATAAAAAAATCTTACTGATAAAAGAACTCACTGAGATATGTTATTTACTGACAATTTCTATTATTTCTTCTTCAGAAAATACCAGTCCGCTAATTCCTTCACTGTCTCTAAAGTAACAGGTTAGCATTTATTTCTTATAAACTCAGTACTACTTTTTGTTGTTTTCTAAATAGCACAAATTTATTTGTATTTGTTTTACTTCCTTCAGTTCAAGCTATCACCTGTGAAACAACAGTGGAACAACTGTGCCCATTTCAAAAACCAGCCTCACACTGCCCAAGGTAAAATTTGCTGGGTTTCATTAATTTAAAGTGCTGCCATGTGTTCTGTCAGTTACTAATTATCTGTGTTGTCATTGATAAAGCTGACAACAGTAACTGTAACAGTGAAAGGCATAAACGTTTTACTGGTATTTTAGTCTTTGGTCTAAATAGAAGGCAAGGTAAAAATGATCTACAGCCTTTTTCATTAGGAGAATCTCCATATCTTTTGCCCATAGAGATCCATCTTTGGTCCCTTGGCAAATCTTACTGAAATCATTGTTGATTAGACTAAATGCTGAAGAAAGATGTGTTTTTATTTTTCATTGCTGTTATATCTGTGCACCTTGAGCAAAATTTATTTCAGTTTATTTGCCTATGAAACAGATACAATAAAATTATATGATACAAATATTTATCATAGAAGTTATAAACTTATTTAGGAGTTCTTGTGGATAGAGTAAGCAAATACATTTGCACAGAAATTGAGATATATATGGTTAAGGAAAGGTGTGCTCTGCAGGTCAGTTAACAGCTTTGACTAAATGTGCTATTTCTTTGAAGCCTATGTTTTAACTCTTCGAAAGAAGCCTGTGCCGCAATATTTTGAGGAAAGAAATCGGTAACAGTTCTTAAAACCGTAGATGAGTCAAAGGTAAATACACTGTAGGATGATTTACCGCAAGCTAAGCTGGAGATATCCACAGGATTACTTTCATAGCAATCCTACAACCAATACAGGAAGCAAGTACAAAGCCAGAACTGCTAGGAAAACATCCCTTCATGTAGCACTTGGGTCGGTGGACTTGTTTGGTGTTTGGCTATGACTCCTGGCTTTCTAGCTGCAATATGTGGAGACGTAAGTGAAGGAGTGGAATGCAGGAATGGATGGAGTACAATCTCATAGTGCTATCTTTTTCTTTTTTTTTTTCTTCATTATTAAAAATTAAAACTAGCTTTGTTAAGAGAAAAATAGGCTCTGTCTTTAAGAAAATTTGAAAATAAAAATAAGGTTAAAAATGACCGATTAATTCTGATGCATTATCTAAAGAAACTTCACAAGAGCAGTGATTCATTCAAGATTCTGTGCATGCTCTTAATTTCATTCTGAAAATGTAGTCTCAGGAGTTACAAGCAGTAATCAGCTGTGGCATTGATTGCACAACCTCATTTTCCCTCTCATGCCCTTATCATAAATTGGCAGGTCTTTGAAGAGCCTCTTTGACATCTTGCTTCCTTCAGAAAGAAATTTCTGTCTTAGCTGCATCAGCCTGTTTGAATTACCCATGTGGTAAGACTGTAGCATGCCCAAGTAGCGTGATGTGCCGAATATTGATTGGAGCATGGATAGCATCCTGAAGAAGAACTCTTGCCCAGGGCTGCGCTGTGTAGGGTGGCTCCAATGCCATTAGGGCATGACCTGCTTTTAAATGAAACAACTTAGAGTAGACCTAGAGCTGACTGACACTTGTAGCATATCGCAATAACCAAACAAGATGCTTGGCACCTTCTATACTACTGTTAGCTTCCCACATGTTTTTCATGTACGTTTTGGAGCTATAGCAGGTACAAAACACAGAGAGAATTTTTCTCAAAGGTTAGCAAAATGCAGTTGAATAAAGACAGTCTTTGTTTCAGTAACTTTCTGATCTCCTGGAATCAGCCAGTAATCTCATTACTTTCCACAGTTTTTCATTTCAGCCACAGATGCCAAGTGCTCACCCTTGTTATAAGTTGCAAGATTGGCTTGCATCACCAGGTCATCAGCATTATAGCAGGTCCTCATTCAGATCTCCCTCTTCTGAGAAGTTATTCAACTGTACAGTTTGTATAGGATGCTGTAGAAGCACATAAGAGTGAACTTACTCTCTTCTCACTGACTTTTCTACTGTCTTCACCATCTCACCACAAGGACACTATCTGCTTATCCAAAGGGAAGAAGACCAGACCTGTTGAAGTATGTCTTCAAGCACTTTGTTATGAACCACAACTTATATCAGCAGTGCTTTCACCTCTCTTGTCAAAGCCTCAAAACCTGACAGCTTTTTAGTATCTGTATGGACCTATATGTGTGCATCATCAAACTGATTTATACTGAATGATGCTGATGTTGAGTATGATATAGCAGTACTCTGATACCATTCTTCCTAACTGTGTGGTTTGTTTTTTACATTTCAGGGTGTATTGTCCTCACAACTGTATGCAGGCAAATCCACACTATGCTCGTGTGATTGGAACACGAATTTATTCTGATGTAAGTATAGTGATTTACATTGCATTATATAATGAAATCACTATTAAAAGCTGTAATGTAAAAATAAGATATAATATAGATATCCAGTTTTCTTCCATATGCTGATTTGCAGTTTTTTAAAAAGTTCTTTTTCATTTAAGTTAGTAGTACTCAGCTGCTGAAGATATGGAAAGTTATTTGAAAACTCTCTGTAGACTTCAGTAGTCTCTGGACCCATATTTTCATTTTTTTATAAAAAATTCCCACTGATTTTTTCAGTATTGTCAGTGTACACTCATTTAAACCCTTGCTTTTCAGATTCTGATGCAACCATAACTTCTGTCAGATTAAAGTAACCAAAAAATTTTATTCTGATAATGTGTCAACACAGTGTAATCATTTCGTATATTTCTTATCTGTATAGATATCTAAACGTTGCAGCAGGATTTTCAAATATTTGCATGAAGTATCTCACATTATCATGTTATTTTAACAAACCTTTTTTTTTTCCTTATTGTTTGCTTTCCTGGGTTTTTTTCTGTCTTTTCTACATCACGTTTATAGTTTTGAAGCAAGTAGAAGCAATGAAAAGATGCCTTTTTTATGCCTCTCCTTTGTCGTCTCTCTGGTGAAATTTTCACATTTTTGTCAGTAAACTGTGTATTTTAACTTTTTTTTAGCTGTCATAAGGAACAGTACCGCAACCAGCTGGGTCAGATTATGATTTTCACTACTTTCTAGCACTTTGAAATGTGTGAAAGGAATATGCAAATATATATTCATTATTATATTGAAACTAACTAATGTAGATTAGATTACTTTAGTAATTTGGATCCCTGTCCTGCAAAGGCTCTCGTCTGTAAGTAGTGTTACATGTATGAGTTCTTCCAGTTCAGGAAGTAAATTGATTTGTTGTGCATGCTCCCCTACAAAAGGGGCAGTGAAAACAAATTCAGTGAAAGTGCATTTTGTGGAAGATGACTTTCTTTCAGTCCTATGGTTGCAATCAAAGGTTAAAGCTGAAGTTTCCCAGTGAGTTAGAAAAGACTTTGCTGGAGGAGGAAGAAGACCCAGTTCTGTTTACTTATGCAAGAGAACATCTCAAAGTATGTATTTGCTTTGATTGGAGAAGTCCCAGATGACTTTAAACTAGTATTACAGTTTTGCTTTAAAACTATTTTATATGTATTATCTCATTATTCATCTCCATTGTATAGAAATGTGTGCAGCTAAACTGCTTTTAGGAAGAAATGGGCATAAATACAGGTAAGAAACCAGAGATGGGAGTCTTCTTACCAATTTCAGAAGCTGTTAGGGTAACAACTACACTGAAGGTGCTATTCTAGGTTATGCTTATAGTAGTTTGTAGTACATACAGTATAGTAGTAAAGGAGATAAATAAGCATCTGCAGAGCTTATTTATTTGACCTTTTCAGAGTGTGTGCCTCAGTATGAAATGAATTGCCTAACAGAGATATCTATTCTTCTCCATTTCCTACAGAAGGGTCCTAGGGCACCTAGCTCAGATGTAGATAGATGTGTCTTACCTATATTTGTACAGATGTTACCATCGATGGTATCAGCATTATGTGATGTTCTACAATGTTACTTTATTGCTAACATTTAAATTATTTTGAAACTAAGATACTTTTAATTGAAATTTTCACTAAATTATATGATTGGTTATTTAACTAGCTATAGGTGAAGTATTTATAAAGAATAATCTATTTAATAAGTGTGACCTCTTTTGTAGTGTTTCATGTATTCAGAGACATATTTGTTCATAGATTTAGAGGATTCATTTGCCCACTTATTGTAGCAAATTTATTTGAAACTTTAGCCCATGCTCTACTTGGTTGATTACACAAAACAAATTGGATTTTTGTGTAGACTGATGTGTGTAGGGAGTTTTCATGTAATATCCATCCCTCTTTGTGCTATATCTTCTATTTTTTCATTGGTCTCCTTTTGTTTCACTTGTCTTGAGGTAGATTGCAAGCTCTTTAAAACAAAAGTATCTTTTATTCTGAGTTTATGGTACAGTTACTTTCTTTTCTGAATATAGATATTATGGTATGAATAAGAACTGTGTTATGTGTCATCCTCAGCAGACGGAAGTTACTCTTCATATGGCCCAAACACGTTGCCACTTTCATGTTTTGTGTACCTGCTGGCCCCACTGCTAAGCATTCCCACATGGCAATGCTTTGTCTTGTTGGGAGACCAGGAAGAAAAGGCTGGTAGGCTATTAGTCCCTGGATTATCAGGGCACTGAATTAATAAATATTTTCATAGAGAGAAGGAGAGGCTAAAATAGTTTGGTTGAAAATTCTTTCCCTTGCACATTTTTTGGGTAAAATTTTGTTTTAATGGACACACCCTAGATGTGTATATGGTAGAAGTTCCTAACAACATTCTGGTTGCCTTAAAAGAATTTCTAAAGAAGTTAAGGTTTATATTTAACCTGTTGCTTTGACAGTAGGCAACATTTTCCCAAAGATGATCTCTTACCAGTGACTCTGCATTATGGGTGTTGATTGAGCAATTCTACAAAAAAAAATAGAGCCTCCTTTTCAGAGCTAGAGATCAGCTAAAAAGCTCTTTTATCTAAAGAATTTGATGGAGTTGTATAATTTCATACCATATGAGGACTTTGCCCTTATTAATTTTTGTTTCAGTAACCATATATGGCAATATTTCCCTAGTACTTTTGCAAAAGTATTTGTAGTTCTCTGCAGTGGTAAAATATAAATAAGATTATGTAAAAAAGCTATTAGATAGTTCTATAGTCCTGTGATAGTGAGGGAGAGACACTTGTGGTTAAAATGGCTTTTCAAAGTACTGCTACACTGTGATAGTTGTTTGGTTTTCTGCTGAGTACCTGAAGAAGAAAAGTAATTAGGCAGTGTGGTCTACAGATTCTATGACCTGTTAGATACTAACAAATTTCAGAGCATTCACAGCACAGCAATAAAGCATAGTCATATAATGCTCTATGAAATATTTATGTTAACTTAAAAATAGTGCCTTATATATCCTTTGAGTTCATTAAAATTAAAGAAACAAACCCAACTCTCTAATTAAGACTTCCAGAAACTGGCATAAGGCTGCTAATGTAAATTACCAATAATATGCTGAAATTCGTGATAGACTTGAGTGTGAAATCCTGTTCTGCTTAAATTAACAGGAAGTTAACGGTTCAAGGAATTGTGATCAGGACGACATCATATTATTAAGTAGAGGAAATACTATGGCATCAATACTGTAATCTCCATTTAGATGAAGATTGCCAAGCCAATAGGAAGTTCTTGAAAGGTCAAAGCAGATAATACTTTCTCCAAAAAATTGTCATCTGTATATATTGATAAAACTATATGTATTTATTAATCTCTGTTCTTACAAGCTAGTTCATAATTATGAATTCATACTCATTTAATTGTTCTTATATTCAAAAAGTATGCACGTTTGTTCTCCAGTCTCATCTGGAAAGCAACATCAGAATATCAGTTTATTTTTGATCTGAAAATAGCCTCTGATTTGGCCTCATCAAACCCATTCTTGTGAAATCTCCTTTTTCACATATCTCATACAAGCGTCTTGCCTTTAACTTTAAAATCTTGTGCATTAGCCTAGCTGTACTACATTGATCCTGTAACCAGTTGTGGTACCAGCCCTAACAATGACCCCATCCTTTACTGGATATAATTTACAACAAGTAGTCATCCTTTTCTGTCAAAATCTCCATTGCTTGACTTTTCTTTTTTACTTCCAGATAACATTGGAACAGTCAGTATCTTAGCCACCCTCAAATGTAATTATTACCTATCTAATGACATACATGAAGAATAGCCTTTTGCTTACTACTACAGAGATGGCAAACTCTGATGTTTCTTTTCTCCACTTTTACCTCTAACTTTTTTTGTATGTCCAATGTGAACTGAAAACAAAGTCGCTATTATATTATAGTACTAATAATTAATAGTGTTCTTCTATTTCTTCCCTGTAGTCAATTGCTTGTAAACCTGATCTTTTGGGATTTTTTTGACTGTAATCCTGTATTGCAGAGGCCATTTTTCCCCTTGTATATTTGAAATTGCACATGTTCACTCTGATCTTTAGTTACTTACATAGTATGAGTACATAAAGGACGCTATAATCCTAAAAATAAGTCAACTATAGCTGCTCAGCATGTAACAAAAGTCTTGCAGCCTTGGGAGGAGGCAAAAAAATACAGAGGAGAATAAGTGGCATCCCTTCTGGTGTGTGCAAAAACTACACCCAGCAGTGTGAAGAGAAAAACACTAAGCATCTGTGCAAAAGATTTGAATAAGCAATTTCAAATCTTTACTCTTAGAAATATTGTAACATTGAAAGACAAACTATATAACAGTGAAACTGGCAAGTTCTGTGCTTGGAATGAGAGTAGGAAAATCATTGCTATTTGAAATTATTGATTTTATATAGCATTGAGATTACAAAACAGCTACAGTAACAGATATAAATTATTCCAATTATAACTGGAAGAAATGCAGTTCTTGTTTAAATAGTGGTCTGTGTGACCAGCTTTATTTGTATTGGCTAAATTTTTAAGGTCGGTTGTGGAGGGACCTACTGCAGTGAAGTCTTTCAACAAAACAACTTGGCCTTAAGTGGAGATTCACTGTAGCTGGAGCTAAACTGCTGTGCTGTGTGTTGAAGATTGTAACCCACATCCAAGAAGCTTCTTTCTTCTGGTGATTAATTTTTAAAATGTTGAAAGAGTAATAGAGGAATGCAAGTTTAAATCAGTTATTCAAATCAACATTATCAAGAGTGTCACTGAGCAATCCCTCTGTGAATATTGTTTATAACACTGGTGATAGGTGTCAAACAATGATAACTGCCAGCTCTCTTAATACACTTGGATGGATATCGTCAGGGCCCATCAGTTTGTAGGGGTTGAGCTCCTGTAGCTGTTCACATATGAACTCTTCCTTCACTGACAGTGAGTCTGTGTTTGCATCAACCTGGATTTTTGTTCTCGGGACCTGGGACTCAACAGTGCTGCATAATTTTGCTTGCATAAACTCTATGGAATTAGACCTTGATTTAAAAATTCTTCTTTTGGAGCAACTGAAGAGTCTTCACCTCCTGACTCTATTTCTTCACTCAGCACTGAGAAGCTAGAGCCACTAGTTTGCCTTTAATCAACCGTCATAGCTAAGGAAAGATTTGAGACCTCTGTCTTCAGTTTGATGCTCACATTATAAATTTAATCTAATCTAGTTATCTTTTATTATTTGTCCATGCCTGGATAGGAATTTGTGATGTTCACTTTGAATAAGTATCCTTTTACTGCTGTTTGAGATTTTGCACCTAGAGATAAAATTATTGCAGTCTACTCCTCCCCTTTGGAGTAGGACATCCTCCAAGAAACATAGGGCTGCAGCATGCCTCTGCTGTTTTACAGTTCCCCTGTTCGGCTTTGCCTTTGGCTGGAGATTAAATTGAATCTTCTGATCTATAATAATTGACTAAAGTTTGGGTTTTACTGCCTCTCTGCTGTTGAAGTGAAGACTGTCAAGACTGATGTTTCTGATCTTTGAACTGAAATAGCGTGAAATAAATGATTTTAGAGTCATGCTAGAGATCTTTGAAGAGGCAGTGTCTGTATTCCTATAAACTGTCCTAATTCCTATGAAACTGATTGAAATTCTCTAAAATTAATAAAGTTAGTAATGCGATAAATATAAGTACTTTACATTTCCTAGAACTTGGTTTAAACATCTTTATTAGTTTTATTCTAAACAACTTTGAAATAAAAGGATGCATGAAAACTAATCTTTTCCTCATTCTTTCTCAGATATCCAGTATCTGCCGGGCAGCAGTACATGCTGGTGTAATTCCCAACCAGGGTGGTTATGTTGATGTTATGCCAGTAGACAGAAGAAAGGTGTATGTTGCTTCCTTCCAAAATGGGATATACTCAGAAAGGTACAGAGCCTAGTTTCAAAGATTCACAGAATCACAGAACGTTAGGGATTGGAAGGGACCTCAAAAGATCATCTAGTCCAATCCCCCTGCCGGAGCAGGAACACCTAGATGAGGTTGCACAGGAAGGCGTCCAGGCGGGTTTTGAATGTCTTCAGAGAAGGAGACTCCACAACCTCTCTGGGCAGCCTGTTCCAGTGCTCTGTCACCCTCACTGAGAAGAAGTTTCTTCTCAAATTTAAGTGGAACCTCCTGTGTTCCAGCTTGTGCCCATTACCTCTTGTCCTATCATTGTTTGTCACCGAGAAGAGCCTGGCTCCATCCTCGTGACACTCACCCTTTAAATATTTATAAGCATGAATGACTTTACCCTTCACCTTGATAAGATTTACAAAGTCTTTCATTTTGTCTGTTTGTACCTGGGGCAGTGCTAGAAACCAAACATATGGGCCAACATGGGTGATTTACAGAGCTTGTGTAACAGCTGTGGTGACTTTGGAGAAGCTGTGGTACCAGAGCTGCCTGCCTCCTCTAAGCTCATAAATCATTACTCTAAAAAGCTGCTTATGAAATAAAATAACCCTCTTGTTTACTTTGCTGGTTCTGTTGCAACTAACACAATATTTGATAAGAAAATTGCCTTTGATTTCTTTGGGATGTTTTAAAATTAACATTAGCAATTTATTCTGTCCAAGTCAGAGGGTCTGCAATAGTACTAGTAGCTGATGCAAGTTCACTGGTTTGTGAGAAAATGTTCATTACTGATTTATATGGTATTGAACCAGTGAGCCTGGATCATAAATAATATTAACAAACATTCACAATCATTAAAACATTTTTAATTTTTTTTTATGGTTTCACTGTTTTTCACAGTGTTTTTCTGAAAGACATGGAGATGCTGTGAAAGTTCATTTAGTTGTATTCATGCATTTTGTGATGATAATGCAAGGCTGCAAGTTGCAGATTAAATTTAATCCCTGAAAGGGTTCTCCAGGTTCTAAAGGAAGAGAAATTACCTTAAAAAAAGAAATCTTGTGCCACTCTTTCAGTCTTGAAAAGCTAGGAATGATTGTTACTTCTAAAACTATGGGCTTCCCAATAATTTTGTGTGGGTAAAAACCTCCAAACATTTCTGTAGAGAACTTGGAAGCAGGAAAAGATAGACTATTTCTTTCTTATTTTTAATGAGGCTTGAGGAATGTCTTGGCTCTTTCCCTCAAACCTTTCAACAAACTTGGAAACTTGTAAAATACAGATTTCCTTTGCTTAGTGGATGACTTGATTTCAGTATTCTTTGGCCTTTCCACATGACCATCCAGTTCCCTCAGAGAGAGTGTTTGCTTACTGACACTTTTGTTCTCCATCTTAATTTCCTCACTGAGTAGAGATGTAGCCAGGAAAAATGTTGCAAATTTAATAATTTTTTCTACTTAACAGTCTTAGTAAAGTTTGGAAGATCAGCAGTTTGGAAAACAGTCCCATGCAAGTTTTCTGTGAAGCAGAAGCAGATGCATTGTAATGCCGTTGCAGGCAACCTGCTTCATTGTGCCCCTTTTATTTTCACCTCCATTTCCCTTTCCTTCCCAGCTGTGCCTCAGACAAGGTTTTCAAAAGAGAAAACAATGAGACCATTAAATGGGCTCATGCTAGTTCAGTTTATAAGACAAAAATATTTACTCTAACAAAATTTCATTAGAGTTGGGTATTTCTGTTTTATTTCTTTTGAAGCCACATATTTATCCATTCAGAAAGCATTTCCTTTGTCCTTATAAAATATTGATTACTTTTAGGAATCTTTTGTTCAGCATATAAGCAACTAACAAACAAGTGATCTCATAGGTCTGCAGGTTCTATGGAAATATAGTTATCATAATAGTGATCATAAGATGCATGCTTTCATTTTTTTCCTAAATCTTTTTTTACTATTTTGCTTTAATAGGGCTTTATTCTTAAAAACAAAATCTCTTATTACAAAGGATTATTTATTGGGGTTGGTTTTTTTTAATGTTATGATTTGTTCCTAATAAGCTGCTTGGAAGAAAACTTAATCTGAAATTTATGTAATTTTTATTTGTAACAGCTTTAAAAGAATCTTATATTGTTAAAGTTATGAGTAGTTGCAGAAAGAGTCAAAAGATCCTAGAATTGTATTTAACAATTGAAAAACATTGTCATTGGAGTGTTACAGTCTTAAAAGTAACATCAGGAATGTTTTTATGTTTCAGTTTACAGAATCCTCCAGGAAGCAAGGCATTCAGAGTATTTGCTGTTGTTTGAGTCTATCAAGTAAAATGTAAAGCAGACAAGTTAATCTCCAGAGCTCTTGGAAAAGAATAATAAAGCCCATTTCTTGTAATTCCTAAAAATTGTATAAAGCTGTAACATTATTGTACAGAAGATGTATACTGCTTTCCACCAAAAAAAATAAATTACATTTATATCATAATAAAAATAATCTGTAAAAGTAAACATGGGAGAAAAAATAATTTGAAAATCTATAATGATATATAACAATATTTTGAATCCTGTGTTAAATATTGCTATATTTTCTTAGCAGTTACTCCTATACACTTAATTCAAAGCTCATAAATGTTCTTTGTTTTCTTCATCTGAATATATTATTGTATGGTGCTTTATATATGCCACTAGCAGTAACCTTAAAACTATACCATAGGGAGGCCTGAGTTTTTATTTCTTATGTACATAAAAGAAGCTATCCCCATAATTCAATATAATAAATCATGCCTTAAAGTAAAATAAAAATATATATAACTTTTTGATGATTTACAGTAGCATTAGCCATGCAAGCGTAAATGAAGAGCTAGAGTGTTTTCAGTTTCACAATAATCATAAGTACAACTACCTATTTTGAAGTTAAATGGAAAATATAAAATATAGGGAATTCCTGGGTCATATTAGCATGTTTTCCTCTAAAGAAATATTTTTAAGAGACTTGTCCATTCCTGTGTTATTATCTCTTAAATATGTTAATAAGTAAAAACTTTACTGGATGCTGCTAAGCTCTTTAGTTCAAATAACTAATTCATTATGGCCCAGTCCTTCACAGATATTCAGCTATACTGGGATAGGTGAGTGTGGGATAGACATACATAACCTTGAAGGATCAGAGATAATATTCATATTGAGAAGTGGAGTTACCTGAAATTAAGGAATAAGCAATCAGTTCTGCAATACAGTTCTGCACACATACATTGTTTTTTGCCATGTGTCTCCTTCAATTTACCTAAATTGGATTTCAGCAAAAATGTAGAATTGTACACATACATAAAAATTTGCAAGCTTGAAGCCTTAATCTGTGCATGGTGTCTGTATACTATACATTAATATGAGGGTAAATGTTCAAGAAAAATTTAAAGAAAATGGTAACAAAGGCTAACCTTGCTCCTCATGACCTGGCAAATACTCCTGCAGGCCAGGAAGTATAGTGGTACGGAGCCCAGTGATGATTCTGTCATTTGTTGCTTCACCATTTGTAAAAATTCATTTATGGTGAACAGCCTTGTGCATTAATTTTACCATATTATGGTATATGAGAACATGTAGTGGTAATACTATGTTTCTTTCTATGAAAAGTGTATTGGTGCTTTAAGACTGAAAAGCTGTTAAACTTTATTTTTGGTATTTTTTGTTTCTGTTGTTGAATTTATTTCCTTCTGACTTGTAAACTTGTTAATATTCTTCATATTTCAGAATACTATATTCTGCCTTCTGTTTTGCTACATGTACTACCTCATGTAGTTAGGCAAGCTTTGTTATTTTTTTATCTGTTTTGAATAAAATTAATTTACATAGTAAGAGTACTTTTGACAGCCTTTATTATTAGTTTGGTTGTCCTACCTCTAGGAGAAAAAAATAACAGCCACTGAAAATTTCCTTTTTCTTTTTTTTCATATCTAAACATTGCAAGTGTAAGACCAAGCACTAGATAGAGTCTGAGGTTCTAAAAGCTGTAAAGGCAATTTAGGCACACAACTTCCATTAATTGTATTGAAAGTTTTATGGGTAAGTCTTCTGGACTTTTTTTCAAGTTTTTTCATTTTTATGGAGAACTCTGTGTCAGAAAGTGATTATTAAAAAGCCACCACCTTTTATTCAGTCCAGCTCTTTGCAGTTGTGAGAAATGTTTCTAGTGCAAATGTTCTTATCTGCATTTGTTGGGAACAAGCAGGTTTTTATATTGCACATTCTTTTTTTGCCTCATGAGACTAATGGTCAACTTGGGACTTCCAGTTGGGAAATCTATTTAGTTGATGAGGGAGACAAAGAGACTTTGATGTATAACCCCTTTTTTTGCAGGTGGTGGCAGGGGGCCATTGGTAGAAGCTTTATATAGATTTTGCAATACTGGCTTTAACCGTTTTTAAGAATTGAAACCAAAGTGCAAGGAGACTTTGACTGTGATGGGACTCCAGGTTACTCAAAGGCTTAAGATAGACTTGCACTGGCTTTCCTTAAAAGCACCAAAGCAGAAACACAGGCCTTGCAATACCTAGAGTTGGGGTTATCAGAACAGAAAATGGAGTAAGGCCACTTCTGAAACTGAGGACATGCAGAGCTGTTAAGGTAGACGTCTGAAACAAAATTGTGTGAATGCAACTGTAGTGCCCCTTTGCACAGAGGTGCGATGCTTTCTTGCAGCCTGGCCTTGCCATCCAGCAGTTTTCCATGTTCTCTGCCTGGCCCATGGTTGCCAGCAGTGGTCTCAGGAGCCCATGGGAGGCCTATTGGGTGCTGCAGAGCCTGGGTGGTGAGCTAGCTCCCTGCTTTTCTGACCAGGCAGTAGGGTGCACCCCTTTCTTTGGGCAGTGAATAGCCTGGTATGAGGGAAAAAACAAGATGGTCACACCGTCAGTCATAACCACAACTTCTTCATTTTGGGTAAACGGGTGATTTCAGTCACAGTTATCACACCAGATTTCTGCCTTTTTCTTTTCTGATGTCTTTTTTGTTCTGCATATCTTTATTTCCCCTCCTCTCATCTGCAATGTCCTGCCTACATTTGCTGGAAGTTCCTGTGCAAGGAGACAGGGGTGGACCCTTGGTTCATAACAACAAAGTTAGTGCTTAGTAAGTTGGGGCTACCTTCAGGGTGTGTGAATGGTTGCTGTAAGCAGCTCTACTAACCAACACAGTGACAAGAAGAAAGGGAGGTGAGAAACTCTTTCTCCTTACACCTTCTGTTGCACAAATTTTGGAGTCTTCTTGCTTTTCCACATGCAATGATTCAATGCTATTATAAATATTCCAGCTAACATTGGCTTTTTGAGAAATTGTCTTCTATATTTACTGTAAGTAATGAGTCAGTGAACAGACATTTCCAGGCAGTTGTTGACTGGGAGCTACGCGTTGGTATTTGTATCTGCACCAGCAGCACCTGCATGCCAGATGATCACAACTAATTCACAGGAAGCCCAAGTAACTAACTAGCAGAGAATTTGTTGTATCTTAATGAAAAAAGATAGAAGTTAAATTTTAAATTCTGAAGAATTATTTGGTTGACCAAACAGACAAAAAATTATGTTCTCCACTTGAAATTAAAAAAAAAAAAGATAATCAATAAAAAGTAAAGCTTAATTCATGCTATTCATAATATTTAGCTTGCCTCTCAGGAAAGACCTATAAGTAGCCAACAAGAATTATTACAACTGATATATAACAATCCTCTGTCAAAAAATAAAGCTGTTTTAGTACGTTGATATCTGCTATTTATAATTTTGAAAGGACTAAAATATCAAGGACTATAAGCCCACTAAATGCAGTAGGCCTTTGAAAATGTATGTGAAGCAGAGATGAGTACATATGAACCTTTTCCTATCATCCTGTGGTATTTTCCATTACAGCTTGCTCCATGAGGAATATTTTGAAAAGAAAAGGGTAGGAATCATTTGGAGAGGAGACAAGTATTTGTAAGGCGCAGTTCACTTGCCTGAGCTTTTCAGTAAGGATCAATTGAGGCATTTCTCTGCTATGCTGCATGTCTTCCAGATGGAGTAGCTAATTTCGTAACTAGAGTTAGTATGAAGGAAGTGGTCAGACACAACCAGATAATTCTTTAACAATCTCTCACCATTTTGATAGCTACATGAGGACACTTGGGAACTTGGGACCCTTACTCGTGTCAACAGGCAGTCAGAGTGCTAGCTGGTCATAAACTAAGGAAACTAAGAAACATTTCCTAAACTTTGTGGATACTGAGGAATTTTAGAGAGTTGGCAGACTTCTCTGTGTCTGATTTCTGCATAGGGGACACTCTGATCTAGAAAATATTCATAAAGTATTTTTGGAATCAAGCCTGAAACACAGGTTGGAATAATATGTGTAAGTTTGCAGGTTTTTGATTGATAAGTACTCCATTTCAAGTTTTATGTAAATGTCAGACTGTCAGCTGTCTACGGATTCTCAGTGGATTTAAAAGAAGACAAGTGACATCAGCTTTTTGGTGAATATTGATACGTATGCCAGGAAAATGCATGGCACTTTACTTCATATGGCAGACATGTAACCAAGGTACTCACATAAACAGTGTCTTCTGAGTGGCAATTGCTTTTGAAGTGTGTTTTGAATTTGACTTAAAACTCAGATAACCTAGCTTCCTGTGAATACACAAGGGAAGGTTTATTTCCTGCAGTTTCTGTAGTCATACAAAGGGTCAGATTTGGAAATGTAAATATTTGGAAGTTACAAAGATTATTCATACAATGCAATATTCTGCTCAGAAATTTGTATAAATAGTGCATGAAATACTGTACTGTCACATTTCTAGGTCTTAAGGCTTTTTATAGCATCTGTGGAACTCTAGGGAATTATGCAGGGAATGAAAAGACTGAAGAGTTTTGTTTCATTCAGTATATAATATGCATCTTACAGAGTGTTAGATATACAAATGGTAGCATACTTTAGTATTCAGAAGATTGTGTATGATTTTAAAATTTTGCATATAGGATAAGAAGGCATGTTGCCAGCCGTAGCTTTAGGCTGTCTTTGCTGTCAGGTAGAAATGATGAAAATAGTATTTTATCACTATTGATATTATTGTAATTAAATGAGAAGTGGTATTCATATACTAGAGGCCTGTGAAAATAAAATAAAATAAAATGCGATTCCTGATCCATTTTAACATAGGATCATAATTTGACACATGAATTTTGCCATTAGCTGTTCAATAATCTGTGTTAAATGTCTTGCTCATCTTTGCCTGTTTTCTAGCAAACATATGCCTACATCATTTAACTATCAGAGCACTCTTCAAAAAGTACTAATAACAAGTCTTACATTTCCAGAAGCTAGCAAAAGCCCCCCAGTTAGACCAGCTCAATATAAGGCACAGGAAAATACAAGAGAGCAAAGAAGGAAAGTAAAGAACATGCAACCAAAGCAGCCAGTCATGATGCTCCATGTCTTACTATTCACATTGATTTCTGCGGTAATTACAATAGTTATTCAATTCCTTATCTTCCCCCAGAGCTGTATCCAATATTGGTTTTGTCTTTAGTAACAATGAATGAGTGTCTGAAGGCTAGAAGTGAAGTTGTTGGTTAAGAACTGAGATACAGTGGCCAAATAACATGAATAAGTTTGCAATTCTGTATCTTTTTAATAGGCAAACAAAAGATTTCAGTTTCAGAAACTCTTGGGCTTTTAAATTCACTAATTTAATATAAAGCATAAGCATTATAATAAAATAAAAATGTCAGCATATGCTGTTTAGTGAGAAATTCAGTTGATCAAAGAATTCCCATTTATTTCAGCTAAGCAGAAATTGCTGTAGCTAACACCAGCAATATTCTCCTTGAAATTTTATATAATATAAAGATTGCTTATGCAGTTTAATAAACTTTATTTGGTGTATTTGTAGCT